CTCGCTGCAGTCTTGCCGACGTCACCTACCGCAAATGACACACAGTACGGGGTTTTTCGCCGTCGAACAGATCCTGTGAATGAGGGTGTATGTGGAGCATCAGGGGTGGGTCCTTCATTTATTCCTCGCCCGCCGTTGTTCACATCATCACCCCGTGACATCGTCGGTGAAGTTTCCGGCACGGGCATTCGTGGTTCGAATCCTATTTGTCAAGCAGATGAGCAGCAACTGGCGGGCGACCTGCAATGACCCGCGTCATGTACTTCCGTCTCGACGGACCGTGCCCGTGATGGAGTGTCCACACCTGACGACAACGAAGCGGGGATGAGTCTCTCGCCCGCGTCACATCATAGTAGGTCTACGACGCCTCGCACAGGGAAGCCCCACTTGGTGCGATGTAAACTCGACCAGCAGCTGCAGCTTAGTTCGATTGCAAAGGCGATGAGGATGAATTTGACGGCGATTGCTCATAGCTCGGTGGATAAGAAAAAAAAAATTGTTCTTACAAGAACGTGTTTGCTCAGCTGCTTGAGTGGAGTGTCATCCACGTTGAAGAGTTTATGTTAACATACGGGCCAAGCGACCAATTGTCTGCCCAAGGAGGTTCATGCGGTCGGGGGTCGGCGTCAGCTGGCACTCCAGGGTCGCGAGGCGGTAGCCCTCGAAGTACTGCTTTGAGGTGGCACGACGGCAAGGAGGGGTATGCGGATATTGGTCCGATGTTTGAGAGGTTGACGGTGAGGGACCACATGCGCATGTGGAATGCGTAGGTGTGGCCTGATGTCGTGTTTCTTGAATCGGTGAAACTTCTTCAGATTCTTGGGATGTTCGAGAAATCATGTCCTCGGCACGACAAGGACGTTGAGGTGACGATAAAAAAGTTACATTATCCTTGCCACATTTGCAAGGTGCAGTTCGAGTGCAAGAAAGGGTGCACGTCAGCGATGTCAGGCGGGGAGCCCCGGGGGCGAAGCCGGTGTGAGGCTGCGGGCCCCGGACCCCCGCTGCGGGGACCATCCACCCCCGCCCCCCCAGATCTACCCCCGCCGCCGCCCAGC